ATGATCTGGTGAACTGTAAAGTGCCTTGAGATGACATGTGTTGTGAATTGGCTCTATATAAATAAACTGAATTGAATTGAATTGATCAGTGGGAGATTGCTCCACCGCTCTTTGCAGGAAATGAGCCCCATAATGTATCAGAAAAGCTCTTAGGAAGTGATTTTATAAAAAAATAAAATAAAATAAAATCATACCTGGTTAAACAGGTTTAACCAGGTATGATTAGAATTTAATTAAATTGCCTCACTTTGAAAAGAGCTCTAACCCTGTCATAAATAATTCCCCAATGGCTAAAAAACAAAGCATCCGATTAAGCTGTGGCTGGTTTCATCCTGTTGCTCAGTAATCACAAGCAGACAGCTGAGAATACAAGCTTAAATTTGATCAGACCTTTGCCAGGTTATTTTCTCTATTACTGAAACAAAAACAAACAGCTGATCATTGTGAAGTCAAGCACCCATTGTGCTCTAATCCTTAATGTGTATCTGAGCAGTCACAGACTGAGGCGATAGGAAGAGGGACAAGGGTCAGCAACCCCCTCCTTGGATATCTTGTGCAAAACATAAACTATTGTCCCTCATGTGCAACATTCTATTCTCTCACTGTGCAATAACACATGCCAACTACTGTGTAGTCTGTGTAATTTTTTACTTATTTATAAGGACATTGCATCTCTGCAGTACAAGTAATCCCAAGTCAACTACTGTGCAGTCTTTCCTTAGCTCTCTACTGTGCAGATTTTTCTTATATCAAAAATAATCATATTCCAGGACATTACTAGTTTTTTTTATGCTCTTTTGTACTATATACACTCCTTTTATATTGTCTGTTGTATTTTTATCGTTAATGGCATCTTTCTTTAACTCTACTCTCTATACTCTATATAAGCTACTGGAACCAGAATTGAAGGAGTAATCCCAAGGGAGAAATAAAGTTGAGTCTAAGATCTCACAGACCTTGCAGAGCTGAAAATATGTCACCGACATCTGCTTAAAACAATGGAAAGTGCAATTTAAAGTGTGTCAAACTGTCTTGGTTGTTTCTGCTTAGCCAAGTTTAAAGTTCAGACCTGGTGCAAATAAAATCAGCAGGTTATAAAAAGGATGAATTCAGGGTAGACAGACAAATGTTTCAATGCTCCAGGACAAAAAAGAGCTAAACAATGAAACAAGAAGAAAGAAATACAGAACAAAAGGAGTGAAAGAGAAATGGAGTTGACATCTGAGAACAAGCTTTGTCTGGAACACCTGACAGAGGTACGGTGGCCTGGAAGCCACCGTACAGAGGAACTCAAGGCTCCAGCGAGCTGAAGAGATGCAGTGAACATGGACTGTGGCCGATCAGATGAAAGCGGTGTTAAAAATGAATCCTGGCCTGGAAGGTGATGCTGGAAGGATTGTTTTTGGTTCAAACTTTATTTACCTTATTGCTCTAAGATTTCCAGAGTCAATCTGGAGCTACGAGTCAGGAAAAGAAGTAAAGTAGATACAGAGGGGAGATTACTAAGCTGGGAGAGTGAGTGGGCATTATAAGCTTATTGCTTGTGCCAATATACCCTTTTTCTTTCTTTTAATTTATGTTACAAGGACATATACTGTAATTTATTATATATGTGTGTGCCTTAAAAATAAAATATTAATCAGAGTTAGTGGAGTAACTTCTGGACAAAAATATACCTTTTGGGGTTATTTTACTGCACCATATTTTTTCTTTTACCTGGGTAATATCATAACAAAAAACTAATTTATCCATCATGGCAACCTTGACTGAATAATGAAAGATTGTTTTAAAAATTGTGCTTAAGAAAAAGGCACAGAGTTAATATTTATGTCAATAAGAGTCTTATTATTTTTGCACATAATCTAACTTAAATCTACCATAACATAAATACGCTAAGTGTAGCTGCTGCTTTTTATGTTTGTGACAAAAAGAAAAAGTGTTTGTTCTGCCTGGAATTGTTATTTTTATGACACCATTTGTTTATTTTTATTACTTTGTGATAGTCTTCGAACATAACGTTACATTTTGACCTGTGTTGCTTACATTATTTTAAATGTCAGATGAGTTTCTCAGTACTTGAGTTGCCTTGTATTACCAGATAGTTCTTTACTTGAGTATTTTCTTTGATAGCTATGTGTTACTCTTACTTAAGTAAAAGTATGATGAAGTTGTGTAATACTGTACTCCACCCACCTCTGCACAGATAGTAATAGTTAACTCTATAGAACGAAAGTACTGCATGGGGGTCGCAAAAGTTTTGGTTGACTTTTAAAAAAATATATATTCCCCCCTGCAATTTTTCCTGCAATGCACACATTCAGCGACACACAGGAGCTCTTTCAAGCTAAGCACCGTTTCATTCACAACACCAGTCCTTGGCATGGAAAACGTTAAAGACCCCTGCATATAGAACATGCAGAAATTTATATTTTCTTTTCCCATAAATACATAATAGCTTTAAGCCAACACTTAGAGTTATGCATTTGTCTGTTAAGCAAAAAAACATTTACACTCTTCTTTAGGAAATTATCCAGATCATCTAACTGAAAGAATATGCAGAATACTGGAAAAAGAAGAAGACTGCATAAGGATCAATTAGCTGCTACAGTAGTTTTGTGTGACATGTCGAGAATCCAATGTGTTTTAAAAACCAGAGGACTGGTTGGGGTTGATTTTGTTTCATTAATTCCTAATATTTCTCACCTTGAAGATTTGTACTTTTGTTTACCTTCTGTTACAAAAACAGACATTCCTCATATAGATGCAGTTGAATTAAGATGAAATACAGCAATTATTCCTTGAGGCAGCAATAATAAAATGTCTTACAGGAAATTATAATCTTACAAGAGAAAACATGTAAGCACCCCTAATAAGGATTGTATTATTTGTTTACTGTGAATTCATGTTTAAGTGCTGACTCCTCATGTGGAAGTCTTAGTGTAAGTCATGTAATTGTTTCCTAAAACCGTTTTCCTTCAGCTTTACTAATGTGATATTAGTGAGACTAAAGCAGGTTGACCCTCTCTGACCTCTAAATCACCAACCCAGTCCACCCAGTTAATCCGACTAAAAGGTAACTGGGAAAGAATGGTAGCAGAAACTCAACAAGTGAGGAAAGGGGCTGAAATTATGGGGAAAGCAAACTACATTTTTAATAGGTAAAAATAGACAATGTTTCAAATTCTCTAATTTCACAGCATTATCCAGAAAAAAATAAAAACACAAGTTTCACTTAAGTTAAACACAGTTTTATTAAACCAATATGTGAACAAAAAAGTATTAATATGTCTGTTTTCTTTCATACAAATAGCAACATATATGTTGAAACATACCTATTACAGGTGAACATAGTCATTAAGAGCAAAATAAGTCAATTGTGTCACCGCCTGCAGTTCTGCTAGTCACAGAAAGGGGGCGATTTCCCACCCAGGACTGGAGCCCTGCTCCGCGGTGCATGATGGGATGCGGTGGATCAGGTAAGCTCCTCCGCCTCATCAGGTTGGATTATTACGAAGCAAATGTAGGAAGTTAAAAATACCTTAATTTCACAATAAAAGTTTTTTAGTTTTGAATCCTCTTAGATGTAAAGGTATGGCCATTTTTAACACCTTTAGTATACTGTTGTGTGATTATTATGGTATTATTGATATAAAGTATTATTAAGTGATGACATTTTTTATTTATTGTTGACCAGTATTTATTATTTTGCAATAATACAAGCTAGATATTTTGATTTTATAAAAAGTACTACTAAAAAATATGATCATTACTTCATAACATTACTTATTTATTTACTTGTTACTTTGTTTATTTCAGGATACAGTTTGTATCCAACATCTACATCAACTAATACTATGGAGTTTGGGCCATTATTAAACAATATTAGCCGTTCTATTTCTGTAATGTCATGTCATTCTGATTGAAGAACTGGGTGCACAAGTTTAAATTGTCCCAAAAAGATCCTTATTGACATCAAACACCCTTGTTTTGAAGTTTACGCCATCTTAAGGTTCATTTAACCAGAAATTTAAAAGTGTTTCAAATGTTAATGTTAATTTAACCAGAAATTTTTGTTAATGTTTCACGTGCTATTTATTCCAGTTCCTATAATTAGATCAGATTAGATTAGATAGAACCTTATTGATCTCACAATATAGAAATTCACTTGTGACATCGGCTCTTATAAACAACAGAAGGTGCACAAAGGAGGAAAAGGTGCATGAAGTATATAGAGTCTATCCAGATATATAAGGATATCTAAGGTGACTTATATATGGAAAGGATAAAATGTATATTATGTACAGTGCGGTTATTGGTTTGTTAAATGAAATAAGAGGTAATTGAAATAGGTGAAGGCTCTTATAATGCAGGATTATTGCACAGGGTATTGCACAGTGTATCAAATAATTATAGCAGTGTTATTACACCTGGGTTATAGTGCATAATAATTCTAATAATAAAAATATAAACATTGAATCATTATGTCAATCATTGTCAATCACCACAATGCTTGAAAGTTGGTACAGTTATTTTTAGTTTTAAAAGTAAACCCTCATATAGACTTCTCTAAATATACTTTGGTTACTTTCAGCCAAATAAAATAAAAAATTAAAAATCAGAATTTGCTTTGTCTACGTATGTGCCAATTTTAGTTTAGCTCTGATTTTATATCCTCATTGTTCTCTGGTATTTACTTAAGCATTTTGCTTTTATCCAAGGATGACAGCTTGGTTCTGCTTAAAGACTTTCGTATTTACTTTTATTTTTTGAATGGTGAGTTGGTACTTATGTTCTACGAGTCTCTGACCTTTATTTTGAAATTCTGAAACGGAAGTGTCGCTGCTGCTGCTGTTGCTATCTTGGTTGCTATGTGCTCACGGGAGGAGCTGACAGCCGAAGTAGCGACAGGTGAATGATTTACAACCTCCACTTTTCACCTGTACACACTAAATTAATTAATGAAACTGAAAGCGAACCTGTTGAGCTGTTTCTGACAGCGAAAACAAACACTTTGGCACTGAAAGCTTGGCCAAAAGGACGGAGACCGTTTCGGAAGAGATTTGATTAGCAGGTATGCTATAAATAACTTTTATTGTTCAGCATTTAACTACAAGCACATATGTTTTCATATTAACGTTTGTGTTAAGAAAACAAAGCAATCTTATCAGGTTGAAATCGTTCTTTGCCATCAAATGGAGGTTTCCATCTTTGCTGAAATCCGAGACATTTAATTAATTAAAAGAGCGCATGTTTGGTATCGTGACGCAGTTTTTATTATGTTAGCATGTCAGCATAAATGCTGATAAATTGACTTTATCTGTCATTAATGTCAGCTAAGGCCTGTTGCGCCGCCCATTGTAAACAAACAGAGGCTTTGGATCCTCCCATCCCTGCGGGCTTTTAGTGTCAGAGCCCCCGGGCCTGTCACTGGTGAGCATCCCTTATTTATTTAAACTCACCGCTTTTGTTTTTTCCGTAAACTTTTACAGCTACACTTCTGTTGCTGCATAGTAGTCTGTTGTAGAGATAATATGATCCATGTTCCCCCATCTTTTTTTCTATGAGTCTACATTGACAGTCCTCTGGGCTGTCCAGGTGTCTCTGCTGCTCCACAGCTGATTCAAACCCTGAAAGGAGCTCCTCAGCCTGGCACCATTACTGATTCACTCTGATTCAGGTTTACTGAATGAAATAAGGAGCTAGATTATGACCCATATTCATACTTGATTACTGACATACAGGTTTGCAGTTTCTGGTTCTCTCTGCTGTTGTATTTTTAATATTTAATTATAAATGTCAAATGTTGATATTGAACAAAATTCCCAGGTTTTAAAAATGATGTTAATGCACTTGATTTTCCAAATAAAATATTTTGAGTTGGGGATTAGTAAAGAGGAGGATTACGGGGCCAATGAAAAAATAAAAAAAAGTTCACAGATTTTTAAATATTATTTCACTTTAAATTTTGGGGGGAGTCAAAATTCTGACTTTAATCTTAGAATTCTGACTTTTTCCTCAGAATTCTGACTTTAATCTCAGAATTTCCGCTTTTGAATTCTGACTTTAATCTCAGAATTCCCGCTTTTGAATTCTGACTTTAATATAAGAATTCTGACTTTAATCTCAAAATTCCCGCTGTTGAATTCTGACTTTAATCTCAGAATTCCCGCTTTTGAATTCTGACTTTAATATAAGAATTCCCACTTTTGAATTCTGACTTTAATTTCAGAATTCTGACTTTTGAGTTCAGACTTTAATTTCAGAATTCTGACATTTGAGTTCTGACTTTTTTTCTCGTAATTCTGACTTATATTATGTATATATTGTATTTAATCCTAGCAGAATAGTTAGGCCTTTATTGTGTTGTTTGTGCAGTGGATAGAGCAAACGTTTGCACCAGAAGGAAACATACTGCTCAGTTAAGTTAAGACGGCATGCTAGGTTCAAAAAAACATGTGCAGCTGTTTGAAGACAATTTGATAATATGCATATGTGTAGATGTGCAGAAAAATAGCAATTGACTGTTTTCAGGTGAAATTAGAAAAATTGCAATTGACAGCATGGATGTTAACAACTTCTTTGGTTTTGTTTAGAGCAGTGATGGTTTTAAA